AAAGAAAGCCTGTGCGTTGGATGACTGGAGACTACTGACATGAAATGGCCTTTGACATTGAGCAATGTACATGTACACCAATTCCAAGCAGGAAGGATCAGTGTACCACTGTTGACTTGAGGCTGACTCAGGATGCTGTGATAAGATGCCAGGAACCCATTACCTCAGACATCTACTATTCTACATTGATTGCAGACTTCAGTCACTGGAACTGAATTCATACAGTGACTTTATCTAGATCCAATTGACTTCCAACTTTGTCCCCTTAGTGCCACATCTCAGAATTCCATATTGAGGTTATTTGAGGACTTGTGGACAGCCTCAGTGCATGAATAATGCAGTGTTGTGGACACTTTTAAAATGAACGACTCCAGAAGTGTTTAATTATCCAAGGCACAGAATGTATCTAGAAAATTATTCAGTCATGAAGCATTCAACCAGCCCCTTATAGAATGTCTGAACTCAAGGAAATTGATTTTTGATAATCACTTGTCAGTAAAAATTAAGATGGTTTTGCAAATTTGTCTTATCCATTTACAGAGCATTTAGTAATTTATGGAAAAACGAAAGACAATAATAGTATTTGGAAAATATCAACCGTTGAAATGTGTTTTAACATTTAAATGATTTAAATTGAAAACTCTTATCAACTTGTGAAGAATTAGCTGACTACTTACTTCTGGAAGGAAATGAAGCTACAAAGATAAACATTCCAAATTCTTGTTTTGATACTCATCCTTAACGGTTACCAACATTCTTGTGGGGCTGGTTACCTGAAGGGTATTCATTGCTTGAGTACATTTGCCTGGTAGTATGCCTGTTGGGGACTGGGTGCTGGATTGGTGAACAACACCTTGTTATCAATGGTCAATAGTCACCATGTACAAAATGTGTAGACAAAACTTGCTGTCTGTTTTTGAGTTGCGCATTGCTTATTCATGGCCACTCTCTTCAAGTAAAAAAAATGCTTGATTTTTTAAAATGATATTAATATGTCAATTCTGCAACATTTTCGTCTGGTTTCTGTTGGATTTATTTGGTGTACATACAAAGCATTTCTGAGTCTCCACAAAAGCTCGCTCAGACCTTATCATTTGAAGATGTTCAAATTCCTCAAACACTCGGTGTTTACCAATCTCGTGCCCAGCATCTTGAATATAATCAGCTCTGGCACACATGCAATTCAAGTTTAATCTTTTTATTCTGAGAATGCTTAGTTTTATTTAACATTATGAGCAACATTATTCCTTGAGAAGATACCTTCTCCCATTCAAACCTTAACCACAGATACCACTGCAATGCTCGTTAATTTAGCTTGAAAAAAATTGTCCTTATCGTTCCTTTTCAGTTGTACCCATGGATCTTTACAGACCTACACTCGTGTTTATTGTTGATCAGTTAGAAATGCTGTATCCACAAACTTCAGTCAATTTATACTTGCAATCTCCAATCACATGCAACTCCATCTTTAGATGTGTAGTCATGACCAATCTGCAACAGTTGAGTAATCTAAAAAGGAAAAGACAGAAAAAAAAAGCAGATCTAACTTTGAAAGAATTAAAATTGGCATAAGAAGTCCAACCTGATTAAGTCAAAATATGCGAGAAGATTATTGTACACCAGTTGGATTAGGCTTTATCTTTATCAGAATTTACCGGTAATACTCAAGCAACATTTTGATGGAAAGCATTTAAATGTATTTTAAGTTTGTGTTAATGGCTATTCTATCTGACTTTGATCAAGTTTATGTTTGCAAAATGAATTTTTGTGTGTGCCAGGTGCTGATTATACATTCTAAGCCACAGTTAACCTTGAATTATGAAA